TTTCGTGACTTTGGAGTTTACTTTGTGAATAATTGGGGCGCTCTTTGTTTGCACAGTCATTTTATAAAGCCCGCCGTAGCTGCAGTTTATTTGCATCTGATCTGGGGATATTAAAGGAAAAGCAATTGTACAGTAACAACATATTTTATTTCTTCCAAGTGCAGGTCTTACACCTATTACGTGATAAGATTTTCTGATTGCTTACTGAAGATTTGCAATGCCAGTTCTAAACATCTTCTCAGAGGCAGAACCAGAAAAAGACAATAAATAAAAAATAAAAAATAAAGTAAAATAAACATCGACGGGTCACCACAAAATGTGAAAGAAAAAATATACAACTATACAAAAGAAAGAAAGAAAAAAAAAATCGAAATCACGAAATCAGTCACACCATTCCCTAGAAAATACCATGGACTTGCTACCAGGTTCTAGATGCCCACATTACTAAGGATATCACCAAAAATATATAATAAGAGTAATGTCTTTCCAATCCAATGAACAAAATTTGATACACAGGTTGTAACACAATACACGAATACAGTTTTAAAAGACAGAGACACGTTATAAAACATTCTTAGATACATCTGGAACGGAGAAAGTGAGAGAGAGTGAGAGAGAAACAAAAAATACATGTTTGGTAACATTTTTGGCAGCAAGTCCTCGATATTACACGTTATATATATATATACATACATATACATATACATATACATATATATATATATATATATATATATATATATATATATATATATATATATATATATATATACATAATACACACATACACAAATCAGTTCTCCAAACATCCTTAATTTGGCTGGACCGACCAAAATTCGGGGATTCCCCTTCAGGTCATTTGAAACCAAATAGGCAAGTGTTACTAATGGGTCCCTACCGATTTTTTTATACTTAATCTTGAAAGATTAACATCCCTTGCTGCTAAATCGCAAAAGAAGCATATACACTTTATTATGTCAAAACAGAAAACATACTTTAAAGATTTACTTGACATATATCTTACGCAAACCTAGAATTTAACTAGCTTGAAATGAGTTGAGAATTCCTAAGGTTTCATATTGCTTGCCTTAACTGGTGTTTACTTGTGTACATGACGTGATAAACATCGAAATTGCCTTCGTTGAAAATATGAGCAAGATAATGGATATTCTAACATCTTTATACTTGTATTTATGTTTGTGATCGATGTATTTCTACGTTAAAATGGCTTTTTTATTTGTTGTCACCTACGCATGTATTTACCCATTACCTTTATTTAAAGTATTTTTTTTTCAGAGTAATTATATATTATTGTATTCATGGACGGAGAATGTGCAAGAATTCGCATATATAAGAATGATGGATATATTACTGACTCTTTAATTTTTTTTTTTCATGTCATTTCATAGCAGTATATATTTCCAAACAAAATAACTCCTTGTACGCAGATGTATAGAATTTCCAAAATAGAAGATTCGCTCGTATTCTCAATTATAATTAGCTAATTTCGATACTTTTCACGTGTACTTTCCGATGGAGACATAAAACATAACTGTAATATCGAAAACAACAAAACAAAAGAAACCTATTTTCTTCTTCTTTTCTTTTCATCCCTTTAAAAAAAAAAAAAATCTCTGCCATCCTCGTTTCCTCGTTCCATCTCTCTCTCTCTTTCTCTCTCTCTCTCTCTCTCTCTCTCTCCACAAGCATTAACCAACGCTCTACGCTCCTTCAAACACACTTGGATTGCGCACTAGAAAGCCTCCTGGGCGTATATCACAAGATTAATTACATATGTTTATTTTTAGTATCGTGAATTTAAGGTATGAAGGAATGCTTGGTTTGTTTTGGTACTCCCTTGCAATGCACATAACTTACGTCTTGGTTTTCAAACTTAAATTAAAAATCTTACAAATTCATCTTATCTACAAAATAAAGCATTTCATTCAGAAACAAACACATTAAAAAAGAACTAGTAGCACTGTTATCATTATTATTATTTCATGCTTTAAAAAGTCCACAATGAAAGAAAACAAATCTAACATTATTTATATACTGTGGCATCAAGGGTAAAAACAAAAAAACAGAACAAATAAGGAGGTAAATAGAATGAAAAACAAAATAAATACTTGAGAGGCATAATGGGTCTAGACTCTACAGCAAAACAAACACAAAAGTTAACAAAAAAATAATAAATACAAAAAATAATATAATCACCGGTATAAAGCTGACCATGAAATATATTTAGAATATACTGTATCACAACCAAGGTTTCTCCACCCCGTAAATATACATAGAAAGATCAAATAAAAAGTCTAGTAAAAAAAAAGAAAGAAATAATAATAATAAAATAAAACAGATAAATATTAAAAAAAGAGAACGACAAAAAATGCGCCACACGTTCATAAGGGTGATAATCAGGGCTGTAGACAATGGGAACATCGGCTCTATGGGGAATGCGTTTTAAGACATAATTTTTTCACATATATTCAATTTCCTCTTCTTCCAGAATTATCCGCCTTCCCATACATTCTAACCAACACTCATTATCGATAAATAATAACTAACATCCCTAAACTAAAACGTAATGAGCAGGGAGAGGGTTTTTTTCTTGATATGGAAATTATATCTAAAAGAAATGAAAAAAAAATCATAATCGTTAGGGGGTTAGTGTATCAGAGTGAAGAGGATTTCCAGCAAGACGAGAGAGACAATTCACACATATACACACAGATTCAGAACAGTGATGGTAAAATCATAATAATTAATAATCATGATAATTATAGTACTAGGTATAGTAATGATAACAAGAGTGATAATCATAATAATAATAATAGTGATAATAATAACAACAGTAATGATAGTAATAATATTAATAGTATTAATTGTTTTGATAAAGTAATAACATCAATAAAAAAAATAATAATGATAATAACAGTAATAGAAGTCAATATAATAATAATACTTTTAATGTAAAGTGGTTTATAATAATAATGACAGCAATAACATAAATTGCACTGAGTAAAGTAATAATGAAACTACAGGTAATAATAAAAATAAAGATAACACTGGTAACAGATATTGATAAAAATGACACTAATGATAATAACGTTGAAAATACTAGTAAAAATGATAAAGATAATAAAAATAACAATAAGAAACAAAGTTTTTTTTTTTTACAGAGAAACAAAATCAGTTAATACATATCTTCCTCGATTTTTCTGCCAGCCACATACTATTCATTTCTAAATAATTATATTTTCATTACGTATGTAAATGTGTGTTTGGCTACATGTAGTTTAATACTGTGAGTCTAAACAGAAAATTGACTTAAATATTTGGAGGACATGATAAGAAAAAAAAAGAAAAGAAAAACAAAAACGCAAAAGAATTTTTAAAAAAACCGACCCTTCTTTTCGTATACATTCAAAAATTCGTTATAAACAACTCTATTACCCTCGACAACTAAACTATCGTGAACTGTCTTGCTCGCCACTGTTATACAGGATATATATAATATAAATTTACGAGAGAATACGTTTAACTTGAGATTGATAATTCTTAGCCATTGCTTCACCACAGTCTGCAGTGATGGGTACTTAATCGCTAAACATTAAGTAGTTAAATAATAATGAGACAGAGCTATTTACACAATCAAAAAGAGAAGACAACCAAATTGGATCAAACTGCTTAGCCTCCACAGTTCATACTAAGCAGGTGGTTCACAGAAACTTCTTTTTTTATTTTATTTTTTCAAAAGCACCATAAATTCAAAAGAAAAAAAACATGTCTTTACCATTAAATTATTTACAATATCTTACATTACCTTTTTAATTAATTGTGTTAATTTTTTTTTTTTTGGATACATGGGAACACAAACTTATATTACTTCTGCGATATGGTAATGGTGATATTCACAAATATTTTTTTTTTACTCTTTTTTTTTAACGTTATTTTTTTTCTTCTTCGACAACCTCAATATTGCACTCAGAATTCAATATATATATACTTTTTTTTTGCTCCATAATCTGAAACTTCCATATTACATAGGTGTTGCTGAGCTGCAGTGCTTCCGAATAACTAATGAGTTAAGTTTACACTAACCAGTATGGCTCCAATATTTGTAATAATGATTTTTTTGGTAATGATCATTTTTTTTTTACAGAACACTGAATACACACTTATGTTACAGTATCATCAACAGTCATTCTGGTCAATGAGTCATTCTTTTATAATGCATTTATAAAATTGAACATTCAGTAAGAAAAAACTAAGCCATATGTAACTATCATTTGGATGATTGTAGTTGCTTTTTTGCACAATTCGATTCGTAAATTTACAATTTACCTTTTCCACTCTTTTGTTAGTCCTAAATCCTAGGGAATTAAAGTCAATAGGAGTCAAGACGGCCTATCTGAAAGAGCACCTACTGCCCAGAACTTGAAATTACTATAATTATTCTTATAATATGACAATATATTACTCTAAGTGGGTTGACTGAAAAAAAGAAAGAAAAAAAATCCTCAGGCCCTACAATGACAGATTCAGACGTGTGGATATGTTTTAACTCATTCCCATGAGCTTCGTTCACCTCCAAATTGAAAGAATCACTGGTACCAGTTTTTCCTTTATAGCCTGGCTACGACGTGGAGAAACAGCAGCGATATGTATCCAGGGGAGCCCGCGGAAGACAGACAAACAGAGCTGTAGAAAACATACACTCCATCTCGGCTCCTCACCCTCTGAGGGGGAGGGGCCATGGTCACACGAGTGCCAGAGGGGCGTGGTTTGTTGTAGGAGGTAATGATGCACAACAAGGCATACTGATAACAAAATACTGCTTGGAGAATAGACAGTGTCACAGGTCACTTTTCTTCTTTTTTTAGATGATTTTTTAGAATACTTTTTTGTGTGGTTGCAAAGGGTCACGGTGGCGCCGGCCGGAGTGTGCAACAACTCAGAACTTCACTGCATCCTCAAGCGATGAACGCGCGGTCAGCTGCCGACGAGAGCCGCGAGTGTTTCGACACCAGAGCGGCCGCGACTCGGCCACCTTCCTTCAGCTGCACGGCGGCCTCCGAGCACGAACGGCTGCCTGCACGACGAGTCCTGCGAGGTCGGCCTCCCTACTGGTGCTATGACGACGGGGCGTACCACGTGCCGCCCGGGCGCAGGCTGTCGTACGAGGTGGCCGTCTTGGTGGTGTTGGAGTGGTACAGGTGAAAGCTGGAGGGCGTGTACAGGCCTGCCTGGTCTGCGAGCGGCGTGGAGTACGCGGAGGAGTCCAGCGGCACTCCGGACGACCCGTAGGAGTACACCTGTGGCTTGAGAGGCACTGGCTGGGCGGGCATGCCACCGCCCTCCCCCAGGTAAGTCCCCGACGCCCCCCTCAGGTCGCCACAATCCCCAGCCATTTTCTCTCGCGGGGACACGCTGGAAGGCGGTGTCATCGCGGAGTGGTAGTCGGGGTAGCCGGTGCCCGCCAGGCCTCCGCCGGGGTACGGGAAATCGTGCCCCTTGTTGAACATGGTGTCCTGGTAGCTCTCGGAGCCGGGCGGCGTGGGCAGCGCCGATCCCACGTCGGAGTAGTACGACCTCTGCACCGACGAGCGGATGACGCTCTCCCTGCTGGCGTACAGCTGCCGCAGCAGCGTGGACGCCGGGAGGCCTGCTGACGCCTGC